GCTGATTTTACGATGAAGAAAAAAAATCTTAGGAGTTGAGTTGGTTTTTCTAACCCAACGACTCAAATCTGTTTCCTTTGGAAACATTAGCTTTTTTATACTACCAGCTCTGGTCTCCAACACGATTGGTTTGTTTCCAAGACAGGTGTGGGGGTAAAAGCAGGCTTACCAAACAATAGTTAAAAAAAAAAAAAAAAAAAAAAAAGCCAAGCGGCCCAATTTTGTTTCCAGTTTTTAAAGTGTGCTTTCAATCATTTTAGCTGTTTCCAGTTACTCTAAGTTTCCAGACACTACTCCCTTGGTTTTCTGACTAAACCCCACTTCGGGATAAACTGCACCAAAATGTTCCACTTGCTGAAAAAAATCAAACAGTTTACTGGATAAAGAGTTACCACTTATGCCTTTCATTTTTCTACTCCAACTTTCTGACAGTAGTCATCAGCCAGTTCTAAACTGCAGAGTCGTCCCCCAGGACTTTAACAGAATGAAAGCCAAACTTGTCAAATCCACGTGAAGAACCACAAGAACCCTACCTCCACTTACCAATTTCCTTAAATGCTCCCCTTTATCTGGTCAATTACTTTTTTTTGAAGTAACTACCACTCCCTAGTTAAGAGTGCTAATCAACACTGGTGCCTTCCTTCCTCAGATCCACAGGAACCCTCGAAGGCAAAAACTCTATTGCCTGCACCAAACCAATTCTGAGGAGTACTGCTTATGCAACTGTTGTGCCTTATCGACAATCAGCATTCTTCTGCTTCAACAACTCTGTAAAATGAAAAGCACGTGATCAGGTCACAAGATATTGTTTTATACTGGAAATTACTCCCCTCTTACCCATTCTCTAAACACATACTTTGTAACTGGCAACATTTCCTTTAAGCTGCAAGCTCCAAGATGCAACCGTAAATACTAATTCCTTTTATCACTTTGGGAATATTAAAACCATGTCACCGTTATGCCGATAACATTACTCGTAAGTGGAACTTAGAAGCAGCTGCATCTGTTCTCCCTTTAGACCATTTGTACTGTGGCTGAGGCGGCACGAATAAAAAGGGCGTCCTCTTACAAAATTCACAGGACCAAGTTTGAACCTCATGGAAGTGAAGTCTGTGCACCTACCAAAACACTAACTGTACAGCTCCAGTCAACAACTGCTTAAGGAGACTAGATTAGCAAGCTTTGTAATACACTGAGAAGTAACTAACACAGGGCATGAAGAGGTACCAACTTCCAGTCGTAAATAACATGAAAAGTACAGCACAACGTGGGGGGGAGGGGAGCTAAGGGGCACCTGATTGGCTCAGTTAAGCATCTGGACTTTGGCTCAGGTCATGAGCTCATGGTTTGAGATCGAGCCCCCATGTCTGGCTCTGCGCTGAGCGCAGAGGCTACTTGGGATTCTCCCTCCGTTTGCACACACGCTTGCTTGCAAACTTAAAAAAAAAAAAAAAAAAAACAAAACTAAGATCACTTGACTGAGCCACTAACGGCAACCTACCTGTTTCACCTCACCCTCCATTCTAATGGATAACTTAACGCGCCAGGTGTAAAATACATTACAGCACCTAACTTTATCCTCCTCACCCACGTTAGGTTATCCTACCCCGCAGGGAGAACTTACAACTATCACAGCTATGCAAACAGGCAAAGCTACATAATTTGTATCTATAAAGGCCATGGCTTTTGAAACTTACCTTAGCATTTGATTTCTCTTGCTGTGAGGTTTATGTAGTGTGAATAAATCAGCACTCCAACCATAAGGACCAAAATCCTCAACCTGTAAAAATTAAATAGGTAAACTAGTTATCTCTCTTAAAGGAAATTCTTCAAAACTTGCCTACAACTGCTCTTTTCCAGAAAGAAAAGGCAAGTTCAGACTTGCAGCTTAACGTATTTCATGTTCTACTAATTCTCTTAAGTGGTGGAAGATTCACTGGCTTGGGATGGACTGGAATGGCTTAAAATGGTTAAGTCGCATGGCTTATGGATTCTCATTCTGTTCCAATGGTGCACTGCCATGTTAAATCCATAAGTTGAACGGACAAAACTTATTTGAAGGAATAAGTGCATTGTAAGGATTTTTAGTTGGAGGTCTTCAAGTTTACTATATTCAAGAGCATCTTTTTCAACTTCATGGCTGGACCTGGGTCATGCTGCCTCAGGTTTTGCTTTTTAAAGACCACTTTGCAATAGATTTTCTCCATACAGTGTAGTTCCGTAGAACTAAAAACAAGTCAGGCATCCAACTAAATGTCAAGTTTGCAATGGCTTACAGGGGCAAGAGTGGGACCCCAAACTTAAGCCATTTCCTATATTGACTAAAAGGCTATTTTGAAAAATGTTAAAACATACGAAGCATGTTTAAAGGTCTTCATCAAAAATACTTTAAAAAAAAAAAAAAAAGGCACCCCCTCCCAAGCCCCAGATCGCTATTGGTAAACAACAGCTGTATTATTAAGGCCTTTAAGTGTCACACATGCTTTAAAAAAAAAAAAAAATCCATGTGTTGAATTTGGAGAACTTCTAATATGCTATCGAACACTTTGCTTTTCCAAAAGTTTTTTTTTAATCTAGAAAGCATTTCCATTGCCATGAGGTACAGTATGTCTCACTGTACTAGGAGGAAGGTAAGTGTTCAATCTCGACTTAGACGGAAAAACTAGTTTGCTTTGCTTACCATCTTTGCTGTTTCACAGGCATTTGATGCTTTAAATCTGATGTGGAATGCTGATAGATTCACTTTTTAGAAGTCATAAGCCTTTGAGAAGTTGGAGATAACTTCATTGCTTATCTATTTTCTCCTTTGCAATCAAGCTGTTCCTTAAAAGTGAGACACTACAGAGTTGCAAAAATTTGAAACAGTAAGAGCAAGCACCGTTTGCAGCTTCATGGTTGGTTTTGGCCAAACTTTTTATTTAGTATTCTGTAGTTGCTTAACACACACTTAAATGGTCTTATTGGGGGAGGGGAAAGGGGAGGTTCTTGTAGATTCCCAAGGAAATGTCAGAAAGGCAAAATATGGCCAGCATTATCCATTTGCTTTTTTGGATTTACTGGGTGAATAGCACTTTCCTTACATAAAAGCATCTGATCTCAGGTTTTACATACTGAGAACATGGAGATTTCAGTTTGAAGACACTCTGAAATCCTAAGAGTAGCATATCCCGACCACCCTCTAATAGCTAGCTTGTTTGTATAGGCAGAAGAATTCCACCTCTCCATTTTAGATGGCTAGATGTTTGTGGAAGGTCCTAGAATTGCTTGCCTCATTTACTGGGAAAAATCAAGATATAGGAAGTGACCTTTAGGGACACTTTTACTTGGAAAATTACAACACTAGTACACAAGTCAAGTCTTAAACACATTTAACATTTGCTTACTGAAAGCAATGTCATAAAGTCAAATA